ATAAACTGATACAATGGATTGAATGCAGCAGAATAAAATGTACTAGGCTCCCTGACCATGGATTCAGGATGGGCAAGGTAGGCATTCTGACTTGGTGATAGCTCATATGGAAAGCCTTGGGGCCAATAGTGAGGAGAACACCCATGGGAAAAGCACAATATTAGAAGTCACCAGATTCTACTGTGAACTTAACTTCCACTTACACATTGCATGATCTTGGGTAAATTGCGTAACTATTTTGAATGTCAATCTTTAAATGGGAATATCTTTAAATGGGAATAATAATCAATTGTAAAAAATTGCAATTGTGGTGGCATGATGGTTTTATGTGATTAGCTTTTTAGTTTTTCTTTCTCTCTCTGTTTAGTTTCTCCTTGTCCTTCCTATTCAAGCTTCTAGCTGGTGTATGCTTATAGCTTCTGGAAATGAGGGGGCAGAGGAAAAAATAAAAGGCTTACGAGTGTCTGGATTTGTTTTTCACAACCTTAGCACTAAAATAATTGAGAGAGTTTGGGGTACAGATAAAATGCTGAGACCCAGCGGAGAAAGAGAAGCGATAGCTCCTTTCTCAAGACAGAAAGGAAGGAAGAGGGATGGAGGGGTGGGGCATGTTGAAAGGAAGAGCTGAGTAGATTCCTGCACCCCGCCTCTCAGATAGAAACCCAGAGAGGAGTCAAGGCCCCCAAGAAAGAATAGCTGCTTGGGACTAGGCTGATGGACAGTGATGGCTCATCTGGAAGTCAAGACAGAGCCACGAATCTGGAAGAGCCTTTCAACAAGACTGACAACTCTTATGTGGACTGATGACCAGGGACCAAACAGCTTGATAGCTGCTGACATGTAGAAGTCAAGAACCATAATTCTTCTATTCCCTGCTGAAGAAAGCAACAAGCCTGGTGAGAGGCAAGGAAGTGAATTGAGTAAGGCATAATGAGAGGGAGAAACAGAAATTGGGTTTAATTATTTATAAATTAAGATGTATGTCTTGAACAACTTGATTAATAGAACACAATTTATATACTCTTTAGCACACAGTAGATCAATACAACAAAAGCTACTCCTATTTCTACTACAAATACGTAGCTATTCTAAAGGTCAATATTGACTTTTATTTACATAAGAGTAATTTCTAGTTTAGGAAAGGTAAGGATCCCACTGTCATCAGGGAAGAGGTAAGGAATCCACTTTGAGTTTACGGTCAAGAGGGCTGAGAGTGACTCATGTGTTGCTAGTGAAGGGTGAATCACATGTGTGAGGAGAAGCCAGGCACTGAATAGTTAAAATAACTAGGGCTGTGAAAACTGAATAAAGAAAGGCTGAGAAGAGAGATGATAGCTGTCTTCAGATATTTGAAAGGCTTTTTGTGGAAGATAGAATGTCCTTGTTCTGAATGGAAGTTGATGGCATGAATTTCTGATTCAATCAACAGAAAGAGGAAGTTTCTCATAGTTGAGTGTTCACCAATGTTAAGGATTCAAACAGATGATGTTCAATATTCATTTTGTCTGGAATGCTGTGAGAAGATTCCTGCACGCAGAGGAATGTGGCCCTGGCACTTTCAGTTTTATGATGATGTATGGGGCAGGCGGAGGCAACCGATATTACCAAATCCCAGCAAATACGCTGGGTGCTCTCTATCATTAACTCGCTGAGTCTGCCTGATGCCTCCATGAGATGAACATTGTAAGCATTATTACAAATCAACTTGCATAGTTTACATAGTAAAATACCAGAGTTCAGAGTGTTGCTTAATTAGAGGAACAAGTTTTGAACCCAGGGTGTTGTATTAAAGGAACATGTAGTTTTCTCTACTCACACCATATCCCTAAAACACTTTTTCAAAGGAAAAAGAGAAAATCCTTAGTTTGAAGACAAAACTATCAACATACATAGATTTTACTAATGTAATGACCAATGGCAGTGATGACTCCTTAACATATTTTAGATATGATTCATGGAACTGTATAGAAATATCAGTACATGAATGTATGAACATTTAACATACATCTAATAGCACAGGTTAAGTATACTATTCTTTTAGACTGATGTACATTTGTTTCTGTTACTGCAATGGCTACTTTTACGTGTCTACTTGGCTGGGCCAGTGTCCAGATACTTGGTCAACATTATTCTGGATATCTCCATGAAAGTGTTTCTGAATGAGATTAACTTTTAAATAGGTGGACTTTGAATGAAGAAGATTGCTTTCCATTATGTGGCTGAGCCTCATTCAATAAATTGAAGGCCTTAATAGAACAAAGACTGACTTCCTTCAAGTGAGAAGGAATTCTGCCAGCAGACTGCCTTTGGACTTGGACTACAACTCTTCCTTGAGTCTCCAGCCTGGGGACTCTGCAGATTTTGGACTTGCACCTCCACAGTCATGCAAGCCAATTCCTTAAAGCTTTCTCCCCAGCTGCTTGTATACACATCCTATTGGTTCTGTTTCTTTTGGGAACCCTGCATAATACAGGATTTAAATTTTTTTTGTTTGCTCTTATGTTTCCTGGTGTCTTCTAACTTTAAAATTCTAAGAGTGAAGCAACTACATATATGACCTCAGAAGCAGATGACTCCGCAGTCAAGCTTTCAGATAAGACCACAGCATTAGCCAACACCTACCTTTGGAAAGTCTTGTGAGAGACACTGTACTAGGCTGTGCCCAGATTTCTGAACTAAGGACTGTGAAATAATAAATACTTTTGCATGCATGAGTGATCTCACGATTTCCTTGAGACAATCTGGTGTAACAGAGACTGGTTTGAGTTGCAAGTCTGTAGGTAGTTTATGCAGACCTCACATCTATGAGTCTCATTTTCCTCTCTGTAATATGAGAGCGCTGGAGAAACTTGTTTCCCTTAAGTGCTACAATTCAATGTCTCTCTTAATCATACTGTTTATTCATCAAAATAAATACTGATAAAAGTCACAAGAACACACCCTGGATTTTCAAGCCTCTGGATTGGGTGGCAGTGTTCCAGCTTCCTTCCGTCCTGTAGCTGTCTCTGCTCAAGGCCTGCTCTCCCTCATCGGTTCCACCCCATCAGTTCTCTATTGCAAGCCTATCAGTGTTACATAACTTTTTGGCACTCTTGTGTGTGGCCTGTGCATATGTGTGTGCATGTGTGCACACTCACAGTTCCAGCCGGGCTACTCTGGCCCTGAATGTGTACACGGTTCCAGCCTTCGAAGTTACAGCTCTAGCATTCTGTGGATTAACTCTGGCAGTACACAAGGGGAAGGAAACTTCTTTCCAAGTGTGAATCCTTTTATTGTCTTCTCATCTTCAGGGAGGTGTGTCCAGATCCCTTGGCCAAGCAGCTACTTCAGAGGAAGGAGACTGAGAGTTCAGGCAGTGGACTTTCCCCAGTGAGTAACTAGGTTTGCGTATGCAAAGCAATCCTGCCGAATAAAATGTTCTGTGACCATCTTCCCAGCCCCTTGTTAATATCCCTTCGTTATTGTTTTTTTCTTTTTCTAATGAAGATTTTAAAAGAAAGTATGACTGTCTAGCCTTATCCCTGAATCCCGTGAAGCAGCAGACAGTGTTCTGGCTGCAGGGTTCCAGGCCAAATTGCGGTTGGGGCAGTTTGTCCCTAGTCCTGCCAAGTCTGGCTGCCCCACTCTCAGACCCTTGAGGCTGTTTCCACATCAGAGCAACTGTCCTCCCGCCGCTGCACCCCCCACCACCCGGCACGCAAAAAAAGGTCTTCCTATAAGGGATCTGAATAATTCAAATCGAGGGCAATGGCAAAGGTGTAAAGTGTTACCACTCCGGGGAGTATTTAGATGCATTTAAACAGAAGACAATTCTAATCCAAAAGTACGAACGTCTGCTTGCCTAACTACATATAGGCGCCCAACAAGTCAGTGGGTTTACTTCTGTGGTGGGTGCGGCGGTGAGCAAAGGAACACCGAAGCTGCCTCCTGCTCAGCCACCTCTTAAAACTGATCTTTGCCCTTGGTTGGAGAGGGGCCTGTTGGGGTACTCAGTCCCCCTACCCGCTGTCCCCTCCATCCACTCAAGAGCTCAAGAGACCCAGAGATGTGGTGATGGTATAGGTGGCTGAGTGTGCTCTGAACACAGAGGAGCCCTCAAGGCTGACTGGGGGAGAGAGGAGAGAGAGAGATGAAAGAAAAGAACAAAGGAGAAAAGACAGAAACAGAAAAGGGGAGGGGGGGCGGTGAGAAAAAGGGACAGAAAAGTAAAAGTCGCCTGGAGCTTGGCGAACGCGTCCCGCGATCCGACTCGGGTGGGCTGGGAGCGCGGAACCCCAGCGGGCAGGGAGGATATGTCCACATCGCCGCCTCCACTTCCCGCTTTTGCTTGCGCAGAGGGTCGCCTGGATTCAGGGCTCCCGGCTCTCGGGTGACATCGGGTCGGCCCGGTCCAGTCCCGCGCTCGGGAGCCGAGCCTGGCCTGGAGCCACTCTCCCACCCCTACTCGGCCCTCTCCACGCTAACCTCGCTGCCAGCTCGGGGAGCGCCTCTCCCGCGCTGGAGCGAGACTTCTGGCTTTCTGGAGATCCTGGGTGGGGCAGCTGCGCCTGCGGGACGGCCCCCGCCGCGGAGCGCCGAGCCGCGGGGTGCCCCGGGCCGCGGGGGCTCGGCCAGACGCCGGGCGCCGCCCGGGCAGCCGCACCTGAGCCCCCAGTGCGGGCCAAGCCTCGGCGCCGGAAGCGCGGGCGGAGGAGCCCGGCCCCGGGGGGCAGCCGGAGCCCGCGGGGCGGTGCAAGAGCCACCAGCGGGTGAACACGTGCCGCCCCAGGCCGGCGGGGGCGAGGACCGCGGAGTCGGACCCGTCCACCCACCCGCCCACCCGCCCACCTCAGCCTGCTCAGAGCGCGCAGCACCAGCTGCCTCCACCTACTCGTCTTAACTTTCCTTCAACTTCTCTGTGAGGAGGAACCTGCCGCCCCCGGCCGCCCCCGCCCGCCCCCTGGCCGCCGCGATCCGCACTTGAACTCCGCAGCGCGGCCTTCCACCTTGCGCAGCCCGGTGCGCGGGCGAGGAGCGGCTGCGGGGAACCCCGATGAACTCTCCGGAAAGAGCGTGAACGAGGGTCGGTCCGCAGCGCTCGGCCCGGGCGCCAGGGGTCTCCTTTGGGGACCTGGGAGCAGCAGAGCCGGGGAAAGACTGGGGAGGATGACCGTTCGGCCCTTGGGGACCTCAGCGCAGTAATGCCAACATGTAAGTCTCACCTTTAAGCTCAGAATTCCGTCACACCTTTACCTGTATAACCCCTCCCCCCCCCCCAGCCCCTTCAACCAAAGGATTTTGTAAGGACTTCGACTGTATTGACAAAATAAACCGGTTTGTCTTCAGTTTGCCCCCAGGCACTGGGGTGGGGGGGATGAGCTGGTATTGCCAGATGAAGCTGTGACATTTTGTGTGTGGATTGCCTTTTTTTTTTTTTTTCCCAGGGAGAGGTAAACCTCACATTTGGGCGGTGTAAAGTATAATAAAAAGGGCAGGGCTTCAAGAATGGGCAAAGTGTGTTTTCGATTCAGATTAAGCAAGGAATAACAGGCCGGGCTCCTCCGTCCGGGGGCCTTGCCCAGCCAAGAAAGCGCACTCCTGGATCAACACCTGGAGGCTTGGAAGGTACTGGTGTGCTTAGAAAATGTGGACTTGACACAGTGTCACCCATGACTGTAGAAGTTATGCCTGGATCTTTGGGTTATTAGAATGGTTTTTAAAAAGCGGGCAGAAAAGATTCTTGGTTGTACTTTGTAGATGAGAAAGTAATTAAGGAGTATGTCATTTTTTGGTGGGATTCTATGGGGGGACTTGCATTGGATTAGAAGTGAGGGAAAAGTATAGGACAAAGAAAAGGATCGAGAAGCCTAGTAATAGATTCACTTTCATGGAACTGCCATCGGAGTGGTGAGGTTCCCCAGAGCAACCCTGCAACGGGGCCACTGAGCACTGTCTGGCCTTCCAGAATGGAAAAAAAATGGAAGGTTCTCAAAAGGGCCAAGCTTATTTTTGTGGCCAACTCAGAAGTTCCTTTTCCTTGTAATATGTAATTTTACCTCTGGTGTTTTATTTAATCTTGGGCAGGCATCCTGGTAGACATTTTTCTGCTTTCCACTGACTAATATAAAAGAGTTTCTAGAAATTGATAGTCACCTTCCCTCCCCCAACTACTGGATCCTTATTTATTTCCACCTAAATTTCTTCTTTCAGGTACTCCTGGGAAAAGATACACCCCTCAGGCCCTGTCTTACCTTTCTTTGCACCTTCACTTCCCCAAGACCGTAGTACACATTTTTAAAATAGGAAAAAGAGTAATGCCCACAAGCCTGGTACTCTCGCTCTGTTCCTGTTAGTGACCAGGCTACTTAGCAAGGAACCACTTATTTTTATTAAGACTGCATGTGAAGTAATTCCATACCTGTGAATTTTAAAGTTTATGCAGTGGAATTATCAAGGTATAGCCTGAAATGATATTTTCTAGGATACAGCCAACAGTCTCATGTAAGAGTTGTTCTCATTTAAAGGGGATGCATTTTTAATGAATGTGAGTTTGTTTTAAATTTCAGTTTTTCCTGAAAATATAGTAGGATTGTTAACAGCAGATACTTTCAGCTTTCCTAGGTAATGTAGGTCTTATGGGGAAAAAAGCACGTTGCACATAAAAACAAAGTACGGATATACCGGCCTTTAAAAGATATGAAAGTGATCAACAGGTAATGGAAAAATGTCCTGATTATGATATTAAGTTATAGGATTCATTTGAATTTGCACATGATTTAAAAATTTGATGTATTATAGAGTGAAAGCATGAATAATCACATAGAATAAAGAGTTTAGTACCCTGATTTGAGTTCTATATTGAGCTTTGTGGCTGAAAGTTGTTCCATTTCTTGACAGATAATAACTGGGTTTTTTCCTCCCCCATTTTGCCTGTTATAATTCATATGGAATGGTTTAAGATGATCTGATTCTTTTTGGATACAAGTATATTAGACTATATGGGAATAACACCAACCTCTCCAAGGTAAATATTTCTACTGTTTTCTTGAAAAAAAGTTAACATGAGGAACTAAAATATATTATCTTTTAAATTTTAATAGATCCAAGTATAAAACTAAGTATATTTTCTGCCTCCTACTTGTGGAGGAGTATTTGTATCATTACATTCAAGTTCTGAAATTCCAGACCTATAAATATATTGTGGAGTTGTAGTTACTGCATGTTTTTCATACCCTAAGAAATTTAGCAGGTTTAACAAGACTTGCATTAATTGGTTTCAGGCTGCATGAAGCTACTGTTCCATTTATGGCTTATATAAATTACATGACATTGTGCTTTTCCAGTGTGAATGGTGAATGAGGCTATTGTCTCTTGGCTTATGGGAAATATTAGAAGCTTGTAGTTTTACTGCCTAACTGGACACGTAACTCTGATTTCTGGAAATAATGATTTAAAAGAGAATCAGTTTATATATTAAAAATAAACTTAGAATTGCTTCCTTAAACCTGACAATTTTTGTAACTGCCCATATCTTCCGGAGTTTATATTTCTGATGGGATGACTAAAAGCTTCTAAAGACTCTTTAGACTTTAGACTAAATAGAAAAAGACTTTGTTCAATGTGTGTGGCGTGCTTGGGCAAAAACTTTATCTTTGCATTTTCATTTCTAATTGTATGACATTATTACATTATCTACATTGGATGCATACTGAGGTAATGCAACTTAAAGGACATGTCAGTTGTAACTAAAGTGCCAATAAAACCTGAGTGAAGCTACCGGAGTATCTTCCTGCTTTCTATTATAAACGTTACTCAGGGTGGAATTACTCAGTGTTCCTCAAGGGAATCAAGATTACTGCAAGATTACTGTATTTAAAACATTTATAGCAAGAATGACAAAAGTTTAACATATTTAGTATAGAATTGGAACATCGCAAATCAGTAAGAAAAACATTTATATTGTAATAGAACACTATACAAATAACTCGAACATGCCAATCCAAATAAAGGAAATCCAGTTCTCTACACTATTCTTAAGCTGTCAATGGGTAAAACGATAATACCCAATAGTGAGAATGTGCCATAAGATAAACATTGATACACTTCAGTGTAAATGCATATATGTCTATTTAACTTTATTTAGAAATAATTTTAAACCTACAGAAAAGTTTCAAGAATAATATAGAGAACACCGGTATTCTGTTATAGAGAATCACTTGTTATAAATACCTACATTATTTATTTGATCATTTTCCTTCTTCTCTTCTTCCCTCTACCCTCCATACACACACGGCACACTAATTTTTTTCCTGAAACGTAGGAGAGTAAGTTACATCATCAGGCATTTAGGGTTTACTTTATGAATTGAAAATTTTATTGAGATGTTTCTAGATTCAGATGCAGCTGTGAGAAATAACAGTACAGAGAGATCTTGGGTACCCTTTACCCAGCTTCTCCCGTCGGTAACAATTTGCAGAACTCCAGCATAATATTGCAATTACATGTATGTGTGTGTGTGTGTGTGTGTGTGTGTGTCAAGGTTTCCTTTTAACTTCATCTATGGTACAAGCCAGTTATACATGTTACAGCTCAAGTAAACGTCAAGATTGGTGCAGATTTGAAGAATAAACCTTTCCACCTTTTGAAGCGAGGTAATCCCAATTTAATAAAAGAACTTGAGTAATAGAATAGCACTTTACCTTTTCATTCATCGCTTAGGCTCAGGAACATGATCTTTAACTACAAGAAGTACAGTTATAAGCAGACTTGAATAAAAAAGATGACCGTTTTCACTCTGAAAGATTGAAGGTACGCTCTGTGCTACTCCTCATGCCCCTTCGTGAAAGGGTTTGCCATGGAAATACAGTTGGGATGTGGACAATGAAGTTAATTCTGGTTATTGCTGGTATTGTCAGAACTAGTAGCATATCAGTTTCTCCACTAACTTCAAAATTGCTTCACTACTTTTTCTTTCAACTGTGATGTGTGGGGGAGCCAGTAGGAGCAAAGAGATGAAAGGTGGTAGGTTTTTTGTTTTTGTTTTTTTTTTTAAGATTATTTCAGTGATGCATATGAATTAAATCATATCCACAAAGGGTTGTACTCACATTTAAAACAATTCCTGTATAAGAGTTAAGTTTTCAAGCTTCCTGAGATGGGACTCAAGCATATTGTGTTTTGTAGCCAGTAGAGATTGAAAAGGAAAAGCGAGTTGCAATCAAGGTGGCTTAGTTCTTAGACAGGTGAGTTGGAAGCTGAGTGACATAGGGTAGTGTGTGTGTGGGGGGGTCTTTTGGCTCTGTCACCATTGACTATATGCTCTTGGACAGGCGGTTTAGCATCATAGTTCTTTCACCTGTGAGATGAGAGGTTTTATTGTATAATTTTTAGGTTCTTTTCAGATTATAAAGTCTGTGACTCTCTCTTACTGAAGAATATTCTTGCTCTCTTCAGTAGAACTTGGAGGCCACAACTCAAGTGACACAAGGTTGTACTATGTTTTTTTTGTAGTTCTTCTTTGGAACCCTAGTAACCCTGTTCAGGATTTTCCATCCTTGTGAGAAAGTTGTTTAAATCTCAGGCATGTGTCTTTGCTGAGTGATCCCCTGAGAAGACACACAGTGCTTTCCTTCCTCTGTTCTATTCTTAATTTATTTGTTTCTGTTCTTCAGTAAACAGTAAAGTGGACGAAAGTTGGCGTGTCATATGGTTTATGTTCGGTTACAAGTGCTTGCCCTGTCCCGCATCTGTTTTCTGTGCGAAACGGTAGAGTCTTCAGAACTGGAATGCATCAAGCCCTCTGGTCTGATAGGATTGCAGGCAGCTTTTGTAAAACAGCTTCAGGTTTGGATATGGAATCCATAAATGTCAGAACCTCTTAAAGTTAAAGTTGTGTGAGCCCATGAAATAAACAGTATTGAGCACTGCCGAGCTAATGAATGGAATTCACTGAATACTGTTGAGAGAGCATGTGAACTCAAAAGGAGGCATTAGTCACTTATTGATAGAGGAGAGTTGTCTCATGCCGCGGAGATTCAGAAGGTCGGCGTTCTCTTGGGCTGATTCTTTTTTTCTTTTAACATCTGTAAGGCTGGCAAGCCAGGTTTGATTGGTCTGCTCCTCCATTTCTCAGGGCTTCAATTTCCTCCTCTGTGAGATGAGGAAGTTAGACTTCATCTTTTGCCCTCCCGGCTCGAAACTTTTTTGAATATGTAGTTGTGCTTCTGTTTTTGGAGCACACTCATTCATCGTCAGCAAGAATGGGAAACACCTCATTCTTCCAGCATCAATGGGAAATGGACACATTCATCCAAATGAGTCAACTTTTCATGTGACAGAAGTTGATCATTACCTCTTTTAAATCCCTTACTAAGTGCCATGCAGCGTTATCTCTAGGTGTATTTGGTGGATAATATTCTATTTACAGAAGAGGAAATAGGCTAAGAATTCTGCATCCCAAAACACATGGTTAATAGAGGCTCCGGGACCTAACGCTGTGCTATTCCTGAGTTCACATCCATTATTATTATGATAACTTGCTAGACCAGATTGCTTGTCATAAGCAGTAACACTGCTCTAAATTTCAAATGTTTTGGGAGGATGTATTTGAAAGCATATCTTTCACGCAAAAAAACAGTATCTTCAGACCTTAAACTTTCCCTGGTTTAGAATTGGCACTTGGAGCTGCATGATGCTGGAACTTCTAGTTTGGTGAATATAAAAACATGGTATGAATATTAGACACTACTTGAAATTTTTGTATTCATGGCCAAATGATTAATTGATTGATCCCAGAAGCGGCTGCAAAGTCAGTTCATTGTTGTTGGTTTATGGCATTAATCCTATTGTCCATTCTTGTTTAAATCTTTCCTTTTGATTTCATTGTTGACAGAATAACCACACTTATATTAAAATGCCTGGGGTGGTGATGATGATAATAATAATAACGAATATTTATTGAGTGCTTCCCAAGTGTCAGTCACTTTTCTTAAAAGACATAGTCTGATTTAATCATTCAACAACTCTATGGACTAGATTCCATTGCTGTTGGTAATTTACAGGTGAAATGTAGGAGGTGCAAGGTGGTCAAGTAAATTTCCCAAGGGTTACATAGTTTATAAGTAGCAAACCCAGGTCTGTCTGGATCTAGGGTTTGTTGTCTTGGCTGCTTAGGGGTCTCTAACAGAAACATACAGATGGAAAATAAAGACTTGAGGCAAGTGCAGGAATCATTTTATGTCTGCTTCTGCTTGAGTATTTCTCTTCCCATTTTTCTGGTATTCTGTTTAGTATTATGTATTTTACTCTAGATGAGCCAGCTAGCTTATGGTAAAGAAAATATTACAGTTGACCCTTGAACAACACGGGTTTGAACTGCTTGGGTGCCCTTATACGCTGATACTTTTGTGGGGAGGGGGATAAATATATACAGTTGGTCCTTCATATCCCTGGGTTTTCCATCTGAGGATTCAGCCAACTTCAGATCAAAAACAGTATCTTTGGTCTGAGGTTGGGAATCTGAGGATGCGGAAAGCCGGCTGTATGCAGGCTTCCGTACCAGTTTCCACCGGGGCCTCGAGCATCTGTGGGTTTTGGTATCCTTGCAGGGTCCTGGAACCAATCCCTGGTGTGTACTAACAGACAACCATAGTTCGGTTTTGGGGAAGTCATATGTTATGCATGGATTTTCAACTGCACAGCATGTAGCACCCCTAACCCCTGGAGTTATTCAAGGCTCAACTCTGCTATGACCCTAATGTATCTTATTAGTCTCCCCTCTTTTTAGAAGTAAAATGACTCTCAGTTACCACTTATAACCAAAGTAATTAACTCCCTTTGGGGATTTAACATCTGGAGATTTCTTACTGCTACTTATCTAGCCTCCTGCTCTGTGACTGTGTTGTCACCAGTACCTTTAGAGTCCCTTTTGGTGACTGGCTTAAGTACTCGCTGCCTCCTTTGCTGGCCTGCCTCTTTTGATGAAGCTGAGTCAGTGAAAGGTATCAAACCAGTGTTTTGGGCCAAGGTAATATGACTGTTCCTGTCTACATCATTATTAAGTATAATTTTGAGTTTAAAGGCAAGACCATTAGTTATGCAGAGAATTGTTTGAGTGTTTTCAAAGCAGCACCCCTCCATCTAATGTCATTTACCAGTTTCTATAATATTTGGTGTTTATTAGCCTTATAAAAACATGGGTAACTACATAAAGAAGTTAATCTTTTAGGATGTTAATGCTTCAGTGCTTCATTTTAGGGGCAATTTAATTTTAATTATCTCCATTTGTGAAGCAGCAGATGTTATATAATGAAAATTTCCCATATAGTTTAATTTCTGGGAGGTTATAGGGGATGTTGATATAATTACCTTCTTGCCGCCCAGACGGACATGTGACTGGGGATGCTAAACTCTGAAGCTGAAATTGCTTTATTTTTTTAATAATTTTTTTCTTGAATTACATGACTATTTCTGCATCTGCGTGCAGAGATCACCTATTACAATTTCTCTGATAAGGTAGGTGCCACCGGGTAGCAAGTAAAATAAATAGATATTTTTTTTCTTTTGTCTTGTCAGTCTAAAGGAGGTGATTAGTTTGTTATCCTTATTTAGATGCGAGGCTGCGATAGGTTTCTATTTTGTGCTTCCTGCTGGAAGCCTCTGCATTTACTACGATTATCCTAATACTTTATTAAAGTCTGAGTGCCCTGATGGTTGCTCTCCTCCACTGCAGGATGGTCCACCCAGGTCGCATGTGGAGCTGTCATTGGAAGTGGAAGCCAGGTTCCCTCTTGTTCTTATTTGCTTTCTATAGTGTCCATGTTCCTCAGTCAGGTAAGTAAGACTTTTTCTATTTGAAGCCCCCAATTTAATAACGATTCCATTGTCTCCCGATTAGGTTTGCTATTTGTTTAAGTAAACCCAACTTTATTTGTCATTCTTTTCTGTTTCTGTCTGTAGTGGCTTTTTCTGTCCGTGGCCTCTCATTCTTCTCTAAATTCTGTGTGAATACTATCACTTTGATCATTGTTTTATTTTCTAATGAGTGTATTTCTCTAATTTTGGCTGCATTTCTTTTAGCTTTATTTATCTAGCTCATGTTGAATAATGAGATAGCTATGTATCTGACACTAAGAATATACTAGCTGTTCTTCTACTATTGAATAAATATACAGTATTTCATTTTTGTCTTTTAAAGTTTTTATGTACTTATTTATAGAAAGTAAAGTAAAGACGTTGCTATTTTTATTTCTCCCACTTTTATTGCCATGTATGAGACAAGGATTTGAAGTTAAGTTTTTTGACCGTGAAGTTTAAAATGATATAAAAATTTTAATTGCACTATTTTTGGAATTAAAATATTTAATTTTCACAATTACCATTGTTTTCTTGAAATTTGAAAAAAGATTCTTTTAGCTTGGTTGAAAGCTAAATTTTCCATAAACAGCTAATTATATGAATAAGCCAATCAGAACCTGAGGAATGTAAATGATGTTCAAAAATAAACTGTTTCTTCATTTATATGGTTTTGTTACTTAGGAAACTGCATTTCTCTTAAGTTCATTTTATTTTACTAATTTTTTTTATTGCTTTATTCAATTTATGTATTCCTTTATAATGAAATCATTTCTCATGAGGTTTTATGTATATATTACTTGGAATTTAACCAATATTTTATACATTCCATATTTATAATATATCTCTATGGTATTATAAATTATTCATTTAATGAATCACAGAAATAGAATATCCACTAAAATTGCTTATTTATGGATCAAGAAATATAACTTGTATTTACTATATAAATACTGTTTTTCTAAGCCATCAGGTAATTTAAAGAGTTTCAGCTACTTACTTGGAAAATCCCTGGCTCTTGTTTAATGGTTTCAAAACAAAACTGATCTTTGAGTGGATTTCTTTGTGTATTTGTTTTAATTTCATTATAAAGTCGTTCTTCTTGTTACTTTTTTATTGCCAGAAAAAGGAAACAAACTTGTAAAGGGAATTGGAAGTTACATATACATTGGATTTTTATTGTTGTTTGGTGTTGAACAACTTCTTAACTTTCAAAAGTGATACTCTAAGAACCAATTACATGATGTAAGATAAATTATGAGATTAAAATTAGTTGTGGTCTTTTTTGTTTCATTTTTGTTAGGTCATGGCATTTGTAAATTTTTAAGTGCTTTTCAAGCTTTAAGTTGCGATTTTTAATTTTGCGTCAACATTTTAATTGCTATGCACATTCATTATTTTAATCATTTGAACAAATGAAGAAAACCACATATGAGGGGGGGACAGCCCCCAAAACAGAATTTATTTATAAAAAGTTGTGCATTTTTTCTTCCACCTTTAAACTTCAGTCACCTTCAAAGTACTCTTCATTTGATGCAATGCACCTATTGAGACTTTTTTCCACTGCTCAGAATAGCTTTTGAGCTCCTTGATTTTGATGCCTTTTAAATGCTTCTGCCATTTTTTGTTTACCTTCCACATCGGCAAAACATGTCCCTTTGAGGATTTTTTTCATCTGGGTGAATAAGGTGGGTGGGGCACAGGTCTCATGCTGTTTTTGGTTAAAAACTGCTGAACACTCAGCATGATGTGGGCAGGTGCACTGGTAAATCACCCATCATGAAATGGGCAAATGTGTTGACAGAGTCTTCAAAAACAATTTCACTAAATTTGAACGCAGCCTCTCACAACAACGCCAGCTGGTCCACTGATGCAGATGAGTTGCTAGGACACTCACCTGGTGGGGGAAGCCTGTATTGCAAGGAGCCCGCCCTCCAGAAGATAATTCCGGTTGTTTTTGGGTCCCCCCTCATATTTTAGACGAGGTAAAAAGAGTCAGCTGTGCTGCGACTAGGACGAGAGGCAAGAAAAAGCACCGCGGATGCAAAATGCAAGGAGGCACTCTTTCATTCTCACGGGTGCAGGATCAAGGACTTAAATATGTTTTTCAGTTGCTGTTTCATACAATAAACCTTTCTTTAAAACTGTCTTTCATTACCCAACACTTGGTGTGCATTAGGAAATGAAGCTTCGTGACAGCTAGCTACTATGTTTACTGATGAGGCCAGGAAGTTTTATATCTTTAAACATGATTTACTTAAAATGGCACCACCTCACATGAATATCTGAACTCCAAACATATTTTTAGGGGTCTTTATTGAACTTTTAATATAAAATTTTACCTTATAAGTAACTCAGCACAGTTAAAATATTGCATATTAAAGCTTTAGATATATCTAATTTTCGAAGTTCTACCTTTAAATCATAGTGTAACACCATTATATTTTCAAGACCATTTAGTGCGTAACTGTGATGGTATGTGTATTTCTGTATATGCACTCTTTGACCTTTTTCACCTCTCCAGATGGCCCCTAGTTGGTCTTATTGAGTCTACTGGCTTTAAATGACATCTTGGTGTCAACGTCTGGCAAATCCGTATTGTTAATCCTGGCTCCGTCCTGGACCCCAGAGCCACCTCTTGGGTTGCTTAACCTCATCTACATGTCAACGTGCAATAAACTTAAGACTTCACATGTGGGAACAAGATCCTTGATCCCTACCTCTTATCTGCATCACTTTCAGTTGTTACAGTCCGTCCTATGATCCTGCTATTCTCTCCTACCCTCACTGTTTCCTAGACACATTAGCCTTTCTATTCCTTAATCATGCCTTCTAGTACCCTCTTCTCCCTAATCTACACATACCTGGTTCTTTTTTGATGCTCAGATGTTAATTATCATCACCTCAGTTAAGCCTTCCTATCCCCCAATGCAAAGAAGTATCGTATTACTAGTATCATATTATCCTTTAGTGATTGTCTGCAGATTTTGGTTGCTCTCTTGATAACGTTTTGTTAATTTGACTTTGATAGCTAGGTTGGAGGGTTGGGAAAACCTTTTGATTATGAAGACTGACACTTAGTTCAGATGGTTAAAAATTAGAATCTTGTTTTTTAATTCAGATAGTATCCATAGTTTAATTCATATAACAGAATTGCAGCATTAACGCTCCTAGTAGGTAAGTTAACATTTGTACTTTCATAGGGTATTTACAAAGCAAATAACACACAAGGTTTATGTACCTCAAGATCTTAAAAAGAAATGTAGAAAAAGAATGTGGTATCTGTTGCCAAGTGATGAATGTAACTTTTAATAAGAGCTACAATAAAATAATAGCTGAATATTTCAGCTGGTCCCATGGAAGCACAAATTACAAAACCTGATTGTTTTTTACCCACTAGCATGACAATATTTAGATAGGTTGATGAAATCTAGTGTTATCAAATTTGCTGGAAAAGGGCACACACTAACACTGTTGGTTCTGTCATTTGGTAAAGTAACTGCGCAGCATTTTTTAAAAAGTAAGAATGTGTATTCTCTTTGACACTATTCTCACATGTAGGCATCTGTCCCAAAGAAGAAAAAAAAACCTTATACACACGCACACATAAAGAAAAATACATGCTGGTATTTTCACTGTAGCATTGTAATAGCAAGCAATTGGTAAATACTCTGTTCATCAAAAAGGAAATGCTTATTTAAATTTTTTTTTACATGAATAGCATGACATACTGTGCAGCCATTCAAAACAATGTAGTCAGATTGTATATATTATCTTGGAAAGATGTTTATGATGATGTTACATTATAAAGCAAATTACAGAATCATATGAGATTATCTGAGACTTGCAATAGGTTGTATTACAAAACTGGGATATGTTTTGTAATATATGCTAGAATAAGACTGTATAAACCTATTAATAAAACAGGGCATGATACACAACAGGCTTGAAAATGGGTTATCTCAGGGGCATATAATCTCAGAGGCATAAAACGGAATAGGTACCTCAGGGATGGAGTGAAAAGGAGGAAGTCGATGGGACTTTATAGAACTCTGAATTACTTGCCTTGTTACAATGAGCATATGTTACGTTAGTACTTTGGAACCTCCCCCTACCCCCCTCCCCCCCAAAAAACAGACAGAATTCTTTGTGGTTTTTGTTTTTTTAAAAGAAGCTATGTTAAAAAAAATGGCCAGAGAAACTGTTGAAGTGTATGAATATTATACTATTCTGTTAGTCACTGAAGCATTGCTCTGGCTCTTTCTTCACTTGATAAGAATGTCTGAAAGGTGTTTCAAATAGTAAACTCTTTTTATGTAGCATGATGCTTCATGACTCTGAAGATGAGTGATGATATCTGAGAAGCAGACAGAGGTTATGGCTGCAAGTAAAGTGGGAAACAAACAGGCAAGAGCCAATGAATTCCTAAGCGACCAGGAGCCTGTTTCCACACAGATAACCTCAGTCATGGGCACTGAGGGGAGGAACCTCCCTTCTCTCCTGAAAGTGATGACATCAGCAGATTATTTCAAGGCTCAGTGTTATTCTGATATCTCTGATACAGAACTAAAGGGGAAATGTTGCTAAAAGTACAATCTGGCTTGAATTGTGAACTTTCTAGCCCAGAGCACAGCACAGTTCTGGAAGGCAAGTGATTGGGCAAAAAGGAATCTTCTGTTTCTTTTTGTTTGTGTGTTCGCTTTTCTCTATTATAGAATGAGGTGATATTCTGTTGTATCAATTACCTTGCAGTCTGAATTGTTAGACATATCATTTTATACACATGTTTATATATGATGGAAAGGATTTCAAATGCATAAAAATTATCCTTTTATAAATCTACCAGATTTTTAGCCATTTTAGTTTAAGTGTGTGCTTAAAATGACTAAATAAATGTACCTGAAAGGTCAAAAATAAGATGTAATTACGCAGACTGTTCTTACCAAGTGAAAAAAAGAGCCAGAATTAACAACTAACAG